AAAAGTTGGACTGTGGCATGGACTGCAGCTGTGACCTCACAAAGTGTAGGAACCGTCAGCAAGGCAAGGTAGGATCAGTGCTATTGCCCCTCCCCATCTCTTCAGACCTCCCACTAATCTCTGCTCTTTTCTTCTATCTTCCATCCTGAAACCTGGAATCTCCTACACAGCTCTTCCTACCCTGCTCCTTCCCTCTGCAGCCAGAAGGAGAGACATCTCACTTCTCAATGCTTCTTCCTCACTGCTAGCCCATCCACACAAACCACAGCCCTTCCCAGGAGATTCCCAAGGATGCAGCTCCCCACCTCCAGCCTTGGCTGTAAAGTTTCTGTACAGTCTCTGAGGCAGGAACAAGGAACAGGAAATCAGGCATTTACAAGCATATAGACACGCAGGATTAAATTCATGCAGAGGCTTAGCTGGAACCATAAGGGCCGTATGCTGAGGTGGCAGCTTCCAGGAAGGAAGTTAATCCTTCTGACATCTTGAGGCATTAGTTACTTAGACCCTCTCCATGGGAACCAGCTATTCCATGGTTCTAGGAGAAGACCCACAGGAACTTGGTCTTTCTAATAGTCACTGTTGTGAGCCAAGTTAACTGTAACTGTCCTCCTGATATCGCTCCCAGGAATAGCAAACTCAGGGAAACAAAATGTGCACTGAGAAGGGCAGCACCAAGCAGGTCAGATGCCCATATTTGCCTTACACCTACCTGTACCTACAGCAAAAGCTCACTCCTACAGCTCTCTGTGCGATAATAATTCTGGCAAGCTTAGTCTGATGGTCGTTCATCGTGCATTTCTTGAGCATCTACATGTGAACAGTTTTGCCCTAGGTCTTCTATTAAAAACACTTCTAAGGTAGGTAGCCATTAGAGGACTAAAATGGCAAGCTACAGGTTAGGCTAAGAATCCTAGAAGTAGCAGAGACCTTGGGATTCTCTATGCCTGTGTTTTTTTCAATTTAGATTCTAGAGTCCTGTGATGGCTCCATGAAAGTGCCCCTGAGCATAGAAGCATGGCCTGACTCAGTTTGACCCCATGTCAACCAAAGCAGTTTGCTCTTTACGTACTTACATAATAGGCTTCCTCTTAGGATTTAACTTGTAAAAACCACTCATCTAGTCCATTGCTTCCATTTTACAGAGAAGGACACTAAGGCCCAGAGATAAGCATATGTGATTCACTTGATGTTACACAGCTGGTTGTGACAGCTAAGATTAGCCCTCAGGCTCCCTGACTCTTAATCCAGTCCTATTTCCATGACAACAGGTTATAATTCTAATCCAAGCTCTACCACAGAGTCCCCTTGCTACCTAAGTAACTTCTCTCTCTTGGCCTCAGTTTCCTTCTCTGAAAGGAAAATTAATACAGACAACACCCTGTAGAGGTGATAAAAAGGATATTGCAAATTGTAGAATGGGGAAGATTAATCAAAGCAACTACCAGGGCTTCGCCTTGTTTTAAGCCTTGCCTCGTGATGTATCCTGTGCCGCTATCCTACCTAGTCCTTTGCCTTCAGAAGCTGCCATCAAGCATTGTGACCTCCCCAAGCAGGGTCTCCCTGCGACTTGCTTAGACTGATTTTGAGGCCCTCAGAGCTGGTACCTCACTGGTTGAAGGAGAGCGGACTGATTTTGTAACCCTGGTAGCTGGATTTCTAATAGCCTGTCTGCTCCATTCTCAGGATAGCTTGGGCACTGTTGAGCGGACCCAGGATTCCGAAGGTTCCTTCAAACTGGAGGATCCCACAGAGGTGACCCCGGGATTAAGCTTCTTCAACCCCGTCTGTGCCACTCCCAACAGCAAGGTAGGTGGGCTAAAGGGCAGGCATTTCCAGCTGTCTTAGCGTCCATCTCTGCATTAGCTGTGACAGAGAACGGTGGGAGAAAAGGGGTACAAGTATAATCCACTTGCTGGGGACTGGGAATCAGGCATAGGCTGGAGTCTGTTTTCTTCCACAGAGCAATCTTAGAGGACACGTGGTTCTACTGGGAGTGTGCTGAGCATTTGTAATGGCTAGGTTGGGTTAAGCCTCTGCCCCTACCTAGGATCTGGTCATACCTGTCTCTGTCCTTCCTAGATCCTGAAAGAGATGTGTGATGTGGAGCAGGTGCTGTTAAAGAAGACAGCTCCAGCGACCTCCTCCCTTGGCCTCCCAGAGTCGATACACGTAGCAACAGAATCCCAAGAAAATAAAGCTCCAGGGAAGAAAAAGAAACGAGCTCTGGCCAGCAACATCAGCTTCTTTTCTGGCTGCTCCCCTATTGAAGAAGAGGCCCACTGAAGTTGGACTCGTCATTTCGGCCCCAGTCTGGCTTGGGAGATGCTTGCAGCCAGAAAGGGTTTTTTAATGACTCCTCTGGATTTCAGGTTTCCTGCTGTTTAAAAGAAGGGACAGCGTGTTACTGAAAGGGAGGGAAACTTTTTTGGATGTTGGCCCTCAGTCTCTAGCCCCCCAGACCCAGACTACTACTCTGTCTTCTCCAGGAGGATGCTAAGCCACCTGCAGAAGCGAGAACCAACTGACCTTCCTGACAACTCATCAGAAACCAGTCCCCAGCACAGTCTAGCTCTTTCTTATTTGTGAGCAGCTAAGGCCGTCTCCAGACGAGGCTGAGGCTGTCTTATCTCTGGGTTATCTCAGCTTAACAGCGGAGCAAATGGCAGAACCTGGCCTGAGCTGGAGGGCTGGCACCTATCCTTCAGGAATGGGGTTGGGATCTTTCCTGCCCTGACCGTCTCTGGATTTTAAGTGTTTTAACAGTACCCTCCATTGTCTTCCATGTTGCTGAGGTAAATGAAATATTTTTAAATGTTAATGTTAATTAAATAAATAAATCTTAGCCCATCTACTGTTTGGAAAGATCTTTCCGTGCTGGAGGGAGAAAGACAATTTCAACCTATGTTCCTCAGCCCCGGGACATGCTGTTAAGGAGAGTCAGCGTGAGTACCTCACTGCCTTGTAGTGGCCCTCATCCCTCAGGGCAGGATGGAGCACCATGTCGGGCCTTTGTGTTGCTCTGCAGCCTTAGGAAATTGCAATAATACTAGCAAAGCCAGTGGCCTGGCCTCCACTGGAGAGCCTGCCTAGCCTCCAGATTTGGGAGGAAGGAACCATATTTACAAAGTATCTCCATGCACCTGCCACAATCCACAATTTTATTTGCTCCTCACAAAAAACTCAAGGTGGATAGGTGTCCTTATTTTGCAGATGAGGAAACTGAGATACAAAGAAGTTAAGTAACTTATCTAAAGTTACAAAGTTAGTGAGTAATAGAGGATAGGTGTCCTTATTTTGCAGATGAGGAAACTGAGATACAAAGAAGTTAAGTAACTTATCTAAAGTTACAAAGTTAGTGAGTAATAGAGCTAGGACTTAACCCAGGTCTAACACCAAAGCTTCTTGTGTAAGTGTAGAGAGGCAGGGGTGGCCATTCCTAATGCCCTGATTTCTTGGCGTAGCATGGGTGTGGGACAACACTGCTGCCCAGTCCCAGGACGGCTCAGCACACCGGCTGCCTGCTTTCTCCTTTGAAAGGGGAGAGGAGGGGCGTGGCTTACTCCTTACTATGCATCAAGGTTCTCCATCTCTGCTTAAAGCTAAAATGGGGCCAGCCTTGGAATGCCAAACACTGGCTGCTGACTCACTTTGCTGCCTTCTAAAGAGTTTGCAAGCCCTGGGCTTCATATCCATGCATTCTGAATCCCAGCTCCCTCCCCTCAGCAAAAAAAAAGCTCCCAAAGAACCGCCCAGAACTCAGCACATGAAAGCCAAGACTCCTCTAGAATCCAACGGAGCCCAAGCAAAGGAAACTGAAGGACAACCTGCCTAGAATGAAGCCTGCAGGAGGACTAGGTGACTTGGTAGCCTTCTCTGGCCTCCTGCCAGCAAGCAGCCTTGCTTCTCTTTGCATTTTAATGCAGAGGGAGCAAGGGAGCCTCTGCCATTGCCAACTAGAGCCCCTGGATACAATGGGAAGGCAGAGAGGGAGGGGGCGGCGGCTCTTGGCATAAGAGAGCCAGTCCTCCTTCTCACTGTTCCAAATCCAGTACGTGTAGGGGGAGGGGTAAATGAGCTTTTCCCCAGAGAAGACATCCTTTCCCACCAACACTCTGCTAGCCCCCAGGCTTCAAGCCACTACATTAGCCAAAGGTAGAAAGGGAAGGTCAGTCAAGCCAGCTCCCAGCCCCCAGCCCACCCAGAACCCTGAGCTTTAGCGCTAAGCTGACTACAACGCGCTAGCCAGCCCTCTCCTGCTGGTGGTATAGTAACAGCATCTCTTGCATATGTTCATCTTTCAAAAGCCTGTGACCCTAACATACACTCCTCAAATGATTCTGGGGAAGAGACTTTAGATGCCTTGGGGACAAGGCAGCAGGAATGACTCAAGTCTCAGCATGCCCTGAATGAGCATCTCCTGCCTGGGGTGACGAGGGGAAGGAGAGGGCTGCTAGTGTCACCCAGAATCCACAAGGCCCATGGGGACCCCTGATCCAGAAACAGGACGACTTGCTGCCCAGAGTTCAGGAAGTAGCTTACACCTCTGTCTCTTCTAGATGCACCTTGCAGAAGTGGAAGCAGGATCCCAAGAGGGAAGGGAGGCTGATGAATCAAGGCTGTCCTCTCAGGGAGCTTGAGACCAGATGCTAGACTTCCTCACATGCACACAGCCCCCCCCCCCACCCCCCGCCTTCCCAGGGGGCTGGCTGGGCCCCTTCTCCTCACTGCCAAGTTGCAAAGTTGTGTGGTCACCTCCCCCCAGCTTCCCGCCTGCCCATGCCCTCAGCCCTCGCCTCCCTGAGCCAGGACAAAGGCCCAGCAGTGACTGAGAGGGGAACAGGAGGAGGGACAGAGGGATGGGGAAGGCTGCACAAAGGAATTCCTCACCCCGAGCCCCTGACCGGCAGCAAGTAAAGAAGCAGATCTGCTCTCCCTCCCCCTTCCTCCCTCCCATCTTCCCACCAGGGCTGGGCACTGGCCATAGAGCCACTGCAGGACCCGCATAGTCTCCTGTAGGTGGCAACAGTGCCACCTGTTTGACTGGTGGGGCTGAGCCAAGGACTGAAGAGGGAGGAGGCAGACAACTCGGAGAGGAGCTGAGAAGCAGTGCAGAGCAGAGAGCAGAGCAGAGCTGCCGCTGAGAAAAGGTGTGAGGGCTCGGGAAGGCTGGGGGGCTACAGGTGGGAGCAGCAGGGATTGGGCCCAGGGATTAAGCAGCACCCTTGCTCAGCTCCCCTGATTGGGGTTTGCAGTCTCCTCAGATGCTGACCCCATCCTCCAGACAGCTCCTGGAGGGAGGTGGGACTCTGGAAGGCAGTGTCTAGGGTGCAGGGGCAGGACCTGAGGGGAGGCAGGAGGTGCGGATGGAGCCCAGGGCAGGCTACTACAACCCAGTCCCCGATGGGAAGAGGCAGGGGCCTCCATTTGGGATGGCTTTTTCCTGGGAGCGGAGAGGTTTCCTTCCTCTAGCCCTTCCCCCAGCTCCAGCCCCCCACTCCTCCATGCCCTACCCCAACCCTCCTATCCCAAGGCAAGCATAGGGTAAGGAGGGCAGTTTCAGGAGCAGCTACACCCTCCCTCCCTCTCAGGGCCCGGCCACTGTGCACCTCCCTAAAACTCCACAGCCTCAGGGGAGCCCAGATGGCAAGGGTTTGTGTCCCTTAGACCTCACAAACTTTGGGTGTATCCAGGGCTCCTTTACACCTTCAAAATCATCTAGAAACCCATTTGTACTGACAGCCACTAGTGCACACACATGTACAAATGCTGACACAAATTACACACCCTCTCGGTTAGAATCACAGTCACACACCCAACCTAATTTGGGGATCAGCAAGCCAGCTCGGTCTTAGCCTGACCCAGAAGTGCAAGGTACAGGGATCCTCTGCCCCAAGACAGCCACATCCCCCACTCACACCTTTGCCCTGTATTTGTTGCACTTTCACCAAAGTGACCTCAGAGGGTGGGGCCCTTGAAAGGGGGAAGGCGGAGACTGGGTTCCTGGCTGGGGTTGGGGGACGACTGGGCAGGAAGGGACAGCACTGGAGTGAGAGGGCTTGGGTTTTCCAGGTGTGTGCTGGCAGGAAAAGGGTTCCTTCAGAAGGCTGGGAGTGACCCTTCTGAAGGCTGGCAGTGACCCAGATGGCCTGTTCCCCTCAAGTCTTCCTCTTACGGGCAGTGGCCCCTGCCCCCTGCCCCCTGGGAGGTGGAGACAGAGATCTTTCAGTCAGGGCTTTGTGATGTGTGCAGTCTCTGTATCCATAGCAACTGGCCAATTAGCTGGGCCTCCCTTAGCCTCAGGTCAGAACTGGAACCTCTGCTTCAGGTTACTCCTGGTTCCTGGGGTGGAAGGCTTTCCAACAGAGGGCTGCCTGAAGCTCGGCCAGATCTGCCTCAACTTGCTGAACTCAGTTTGCCCCACCCGGGGCAGTTTCTCCTAAGTCCCCACCCTGGGTAAGCACTCAATCCCCAGAGCTGGATGCTGTTAAATGGGGAGGAGTTGGAGAGAGTGGGTGTGAATCCTCTCTGCAAAGAGGCTGGACCTCCTGGATGTCCCACTGACTTTCCAGGTATCCAGATTAAAGGGAAAGAGACCCCGGAGATTGTCCCCCTTTGCTCACCTCCTCATCCAATCTGGCACTTGAGGCCTGCCCTGTGACCTCTGTTGCTGAGCAGCGGCCCAGGCCTCTGCTCCTCTCCTGGGCTTCTTAGATACACTGGGAGGGAGGCTGGGATCTGTCTCCTGCCAGGGTCCCTGATGGCCAAGTGTCCCTTCCCCCAGGCCCTCACCATGGCCAAGTCCCCCGGCTGCTGCTCCGTCTGGGCCCGCTGCCTCCACTGCCTGTATAGCTGCCACTGGAGGAAATGCCCCAAAGAGAGGATGCCAACCAGCAAGGTGGAGTAGGGATGGGGGGCCAGAAGTCCGAGGCAGAGGCCTCTTAGGAGGGATAAGGAGGCCAAGTGTGCTCAGAGGCAGCTGGGGGGAAGGGGCTTTCTCTCCCCAGGAAGAAAATCTCCCTCAAATATGAAAAGAGCAGCCTGCAGAGCAGAGCAGCCCAACGCCTGGCAGGAAGCCCCCTTGAGCTGCCATTTGTTGGGGACTCTGAGCTGGAAGTGGGGATCGGCTATGAGCTTCTCTCCTGCCCCTTTGCAGTGCGACTGCATCTGGTTTGGTCTGCTCTTCCTCACCTTCCTCCTCTCCCTGGGCTGGCTGTACATCGGGCTCATCCTTCTCAATGACCTGCACAACTTCAACGAGTGTGTCATGGACCCCCTCTTCCTCAGCATACATGTCAACCTACTCCGAACCCTGGGACACCTGGGTGCTCAGTCATCCCCAGCCCTGCCCAGCTCTCCTGCTACCTAACCACCTTAGAAAATCCCTCCCCGAAGTCTCCCCAACCCTTGGAGCCCCCCCCCCCCCCCAACAAAGAGTTTCCTCTCACTCCTTTCTAGTCCTCTTTCTGAATCCACCCATCCCAACTCCCCTCAGGCCACTATTAACACCCCTTCCCCCACTCGGACACTTCCCTCTCCCCTCCCACAGATTCCTGTTCAACCACTGGGGACACTGGATGGACTGGTCCCTGGCATTCCTGCTGGTCATCTCTCTACTGGTCACATATGCATCCCTGCTATTGGTGGGCCTAACCCCCACCTCGGCCCTTCCTTCCTGCTCAGCTCTACCCACCTGGCCACTGAGGGGAGGGTGGGAGGGAGGTGTCAGACTGGAAAACCCCACCTTAGTAACCCCTCTTTGCACCTCATTACTCCCACCACCCTCTGCCCCCAGCTCCTGGCCCTGCTCCTGCGGCTCTGTGGCCAGCCTCTGCGTCTGCACAGCGTCCACAAGGTAGAGTGCGGATGGGACCGAGCGGGAGAGGGGGCCACTGGGCCCAGCACTTGGCCAGCTATTTGCCAAGGCCTTCATTATTCTATCCCCAGGCTTGAGCTCAGGACCTGAGGCCCAGCAAATATTTGTTGAGTGAAAGAAGGAAAGTGGATGAGTCAGGAGAAGGGAATGGTCTTGTTTTCTTAGTGAGGGGGCAGCCCAGGTAGCCATAAGCCCAGGCTGACACAGAAGGTCCCATTCATCCCTGGTCCCCCAGGTGCTGCTACTCTTCATTATGCTTCTTGTGGCCGCTGGCCTTGTGGGACTGGACATCCAATGGCAGCAGGAGTGGCGTAGCTTACGTCTGTCACTGCAGGTGAGTGGCTGGTCTCCAGTGCCTAAGTGGGGGCCTCGGCCTATGGCCAACCCCAGGACATATCTTGCTCCCTGGTCCCCTACAAGTGCAAGTAGCTCTGAATTCCAAAAGTCAGGTCCTAGGAGGAGAAGGGGAGGGGCACTAGGAAGAAGAGCCCTCCTCACCAGCTCTTATCCACAGGCCACAGCCCCATTCCTTCATATCGGAGCAGTTGCTGGCATCACCCTTCTGGCCTGGCCTGTGGCTGATACCTTCTACCGTATCCACCGAAGAGGTGCCAACTCCACTCCCCCACACACCCTCCCTGGCCATCAATGCTGCTGCCTGCCGCTGCCCAGTTTCCTGCAACTGCACTCTGTTTTCTGCCCCCAGGGCTCACCCGTTGTCCTTTCTCCATAGCCTGCCCCCTACTCCCCGCAGGTCCCAAGATTCTGCTACTGTTCTTATTTTTTGGAATTGCCCTGGCCAGCTACCTGGCCCCCCTGTGCATCTCCTCACCCTGTATCATGGAACCCAGAGACTTACCTCCCAAGCCGGGGCTGGTGGGACACCGAGGGGCCCCCATGGTAAGTGCTGGGCAGAATGCTGGCAGGGCGGGGAGGGTCTGCCCCTCCAGGCTGTAGCGGCCAGGCCTGTGGGTCCCCAGGCTCCTATCCTTCCCTGCTACCTCCTTACCAAGTCCCTTTCCCAGCTGGCCCCCGAGAACACCCTGATGTCCCTGCGGAAGACGGCTGAATGTGGAGCTGCTGTGTTCGAGACCGACGTGATGGTCAGGTGAGGGAAGCTGGGGGACTGAGGGACGCAGCAGGGGAGCTCTGGAAACAATGACCAGCCCCAGAGCTTGGCCCTCTGACACCCCTTGTGCCCTCAGCTCCGACGGTATCCCCTTCCTCATGCATGACGAGCACCTGAGTAGGACCACAGATGTGGCCTCTGTGTTCCCAACCCGAATCACCACCCACAGCAGTGACTTCTCCTGGGCAGAACTGAAGAGACTCAATGCTGGGGCCTGGTTTTTAGAGGTGAGGAGGTCAGCCTCTGGGAAGAGGCAGCCATCCGCAGGAGCACTCAGGGCAGAGTTCATTCATTGATAAGTATTTGCTGAGCCCTGTGCTGGGCAACAGGTATACAGTCTCTGCTCTCAAGTCACTCCCTCCTGGTAAAGAAGAGAGTCTAGGCAACAGGCTATCAGAATATGAAAGCTAGAGTGATAACAGTATCTTTACTGGGTAAAGAGGAGAGAGAGAGGAGTCACTGTTTGGCAGGTTGGCTGTGGGAGAGGATCAGGAGCGGTTTCACAGGAGAAGATCCCTGAGCAGCACATGAAATGCGAGTGGTTTTTAAGATGGGCAAGGCAGGGAACAGGAATTCTAGTCAGAGGGAAGAGCATGTGTAAAGCCCAAAAGGATGATGAAGTGTTTCTAGGGAACAAAACGTGGCTCAGTGGAACTGGGAGAGAAAATTCCTGGAAGGAGTAGGTGGTGAGACTGGCTAGGGGAGCAGAGGTCTCGGAGGGCTTCGCATGCCAGGCCAAAAGGCGTGGGCCTCAATCCTGCAGGTGATGGAAAATAGCTGAAAGGATACTTTATCGTTTCAGTTCTTCTTTTTCTGATTACAAAATACATGTTCCTTGAAAAAAAAAAAAAAAAAAAAAAAGGTAAAACATCAGAGAAATAACCTAGAAATTGATGTCTCCCATAATCGAACTCCTCTGAGATATTCACTGTCAACAGTGGGTACATATTCTATATATACATACATATACACACACACACACATATATATATGTATACATGCACATATATACTTCCCATTTTGCACAAATAGGATCACTTAATGTATTCTTCGGCAACTTGATTTCTTTTTTTTTCATTTAACTCTGTATATGATGATACATCAGAATGATTAAGAGCAAAGCATCTGAGTTTGAATCCTGGCTTCACCACTTACTAGCTGTGAGCCTGGGCAACATTCATTAGTCTCTCTGTGCTTCATTTTCCTCATCTGTAAAATTAGAATAATAACAGTACCTACCTTGTACACTTCCTGGCACATAGTAAATAATGTGTTAGATAGCTCGCTTTTTCCATGTCAGTAATTAGAGGGTAAGGTCATTAGTTGATTACAAGGGGAGAAGAGGAGAGTGGCAGAGGTTCAGAATAGCTATTTGAAGGAATGGGGAGGGAGCAAATCAAGAACAAGTAAAAGGATGGCTAAGTGATACTACAAGCAAAAAATAGGACTACAGTGCCAACAGTCCACATGGTGTGCTCTGTCTCCAATTCGAGGGGTGGAGGAGGCAGACAATGGTAGAATTGAATCAGAGTTTAGAATTTGTAGGGCAGGTGGGGCAGGAAAGGAGTTGAGGGTGCTGTGGAAAATTAGTTTAAGCTGTGGACGAACCATGGGTAGGGGATGTAGGTGCGGTCAGAAAGGGACTGATGCACTGGGAGGAAAGCAAGGGGTCAAGATCCCAGAGGTCTCTGTGAGACCAAAGAGAAAGTGTAGCAGGAGAGAGGAAGTTAGGAAACTGGGAGAGTAGGAGGTTGGGGTCAGAGTAAGGTGATAGAAGGTCTGGAAAAGACCACAGTGTGAAGAAATACAGACCCTGGCTCAGAGGTGGGCAGAAGCTGAACACAAGTAGGGGAAATGAGTGAAGATGGTGAGGATGGGAGATGGCCTGGAGGCTTCTTCTGGTCTTGAAATAATTTTCCTATTCTTATAGAGGCGACCCTTCTGGGGGGCCAAGCAGCTGTCAGGCACTGATCGGAAAGAGGCTGAGAATCAGACAGTGCCAACCTTGGAAGAACTACTGAAGGAAGCTGCCGTCCTCAACATTTCCATCATGTTTGACCTGCGCCGCCCCCCGCCAAACCATACATACCATGATACTTTTGTGAACCAGACATTGGAGACTGTGCTGAGTGCAAGGGTGCCCCAAGACATGGTGATACTGCCAGGACCCCAAGTGCCCCTTCTTGCTCCTCCCCCCACCACCTTTCGTGGGCTAATTTTGAGGCTGGCCCCTGCCCCAGGGCCCTACCTCAGCTCATATACCCCATTCTGTTGTCAAACCTCTCTGCCCCTTCCCCTGCCCTTGGAATCCTCAGGCCTTCCCCAACTTCATGCCCATCCTCCGTTAACCACAGGTCCTTTGGCTACCAGACGAAGATCGGGCTAAAGTACAACAACGAGCACCCAAAATGCGCCAGATATATGGACAGCAGGGAGGCAACAGAACTGAGAGGCCCCAGTATCTCAACCTCCCCTATCAAGACCTGCCACTGTTGGATATCAAGTGAGTGCCAGAGGAAAGGAGCTGAGGGTATCACATGAGGCTTAATGGTGGGGAAGAGCCTATGCAGAGAGGGCAAATGCCATTCATTCATTTACTCATACAACAAGTATTTATCAAACACTTGCTATGTATAAAGCACTATTTATTGCAGGCTTTGGGTGTACTAGTGAAAAAGACACACCATAAACCACTGAACAAACTATATGCATATTGGATAGTGATAAGTGATATGAAGACAATAAAATGGGGAGATGTAGTAGAGCAGTTGGGGTTGGGGAGTGAGGGGCTAGGGAGGGGCCACGTTAGGAGGAGTGGTTCAAGAATTGGTGTCTGGGCTGAGACCAGACGGGTCACAAGGAGCTAACGATGAGAAGAGCTGCAGAAGAGCAGAAACAGCGCCACTGAGCAAGGGGAAGGCGAGGCTGGAGAGGTAGGCAGGGGCCAAATTGGGTAGGACCTTGTAGGCTACGAGAAGGATTTTAGCTTTCATTCTACATCAAAGAGGTAAGCGTAAGAGAAGAAGAATCCAGGAGACAGAGGCTAGAGAGTATCAGCTGTGAGCTGGGCCCCAGAAGCTGACCCAGCCAGTAAACATGATGGACTTCAAAACATGTGGTTGCCAAAGTCTCTTATAAAGTCCTTGTGGTCAAATAGAAAAAATGTGGACTAAATGATAGCTCAGTTATCGTAAGCATTTCAAGGACATTTCACCAAGCTGTCACCATGGAGGAAGACGTGACATCAGGTTTGGTCCTTACCTTAGTCTTGTCCTGGTCAACAATGACTGCCGATCATCTTTCCAAAAGACATGAATTGGTAATGAATACACTGACAATGAAATCGAGGCCCTGAAAGGTCTAAGCACTCTAAGATGATGGGCCAAATGTACCAAGATGAAATGCAACAGGGATAGATATAAAGACCTATGTTTGGGGCCTAGAAGAAGCTCAAATGCACAAAGACAAGAGAGGAGACACTGGCATCAGCAGGAATGTGTGTGAGAAAGACCAGGGCTTTGACTGAACACTATGCATAATAAGTCACCAGTGGCATGAAACATTGCCAAAAACTAACCTGACCCTGCGCTGCCTTCATACAGGCAGGGTACCCAGAAGGCAGGAGTTTTGCTCTATTCAAAGCTGGTCCAAGCCCACCTGGGATATGTTCAGATGCACCCCCCCATACTTTCAAAGGGACTCCAAATGATAAATTGGAGTAAGACCAGATTAGAGAGGTTTGTGTGGTGAAAGGAATGATAAGCCAGGTCCTAAGAGTAATAGTTAAAGGAACTGGGGCTGTTGGGTGTGGAGAAGAGAAGACTCAGGGGGGTGTGGTCACTGTTCCTCAGACCTCTGAAGGGCTGTCATAGGACAAAGAGGAGAGACACATCCATGTGGCCCCAGACAGCAAAGCTAGGACCCATAGTTGGAATCCACTAAGAGAGAGAGTTTAGCTATGCAAAGAACATCACTTTTGGTCAGGGGCTGCTATGCAAAGGTAGAACTGATAACTCCTTGGCAATGACACTGTAGATTCAAGCACAGGCGGGGGCTGCCTCCCATGCCTCGTGCCCCACAATTCTGTTTCTTTCCCGCTTTCACAGGGCACTGCACCAGGATAATGTCTCAGTGAACCTATTTGTAGTGAACAAGCCCTGGCTCTTCTCCCTACTCTGGTGTGCAGGGGTGGATTCGGTCACCACCAACGACTGCCAGCTGCTGCAGCAGATGCACTACCCTGTCTGGCTTATTGTAAGGGCTCTGGGACTGTCACCCTTCTTCCTCTTTTCCCATTCCTGCTTTTTCTTAACCCCATCCTTCTTTTCCTCACTTATTTCCCCCCACATACTACCTTTGGGGTGCTGGCCACTGACAGGGACCTTTTCCTCTTCCCATAGCCCCCTCAGACCTACCTTATGATGTGGATCGTTACTGATTGTGTCTCTACCCTGCTGCTTTTGTGGACTTTTCTGCTCCAGGGGTGAGTGCTTTGTGCCTTGCCTTTCTGGGTCTTTATTCTACCCAGGGTCCTGGTGATGAGGCTGATTCAGACTCATAGATGCTGCCTGGGGCTTGGGGTTTGGTCTGTTTGGTTCCTCTGAGATTCTTAGACCCTTGCTTATATAGTTATGCGCCACATAACAACGTTTCGGTCAACAATGGTGGTCCTATAAGATTAGTACCATAAAGGTAGGTGTGTAGTAGGCTATACCACCTAGGTTTGTGCGAGTACACTCTATGATGTTCGCACAATGACAAAATCGCCTAATAATGCATTTCTCAGAACATATTCCCATCGATAAGCAACATCTGATTGTACCCCAAATTGGCTTGAACCTGGGAAAGGCAGTTTGAGGGAACCTGGGGTTAAAATGTTGTGCTTGAAGCTGGCTGAACTCACAGAGGGAAGCTTTTCTCCCTACAGGAGATGTGCTAAGGAGAAAGAGAGAACTGGTAAGAACTTTCTCCCCTCACCTCATTTTTCTCCTCTTCTAGCCTTCCCCTTGCTCACTCCCTATATGCCCTCCCGACCCCCAGGCTTAGAAACAGCAGTGCTGCTGACCAGGATCAACAATTTCTTAATGGAGTGATGCTCTTCCCAGGAGCCCCACCAGCAGGAGTCTCAGGCCTGTCTGCATTGGCCAATGGCAAAGAAGGGAGAATGGCTGAAGTGGAACGTTAGCATGTTTGGGGTGGGGTAAATTTTGCCAACAGGAGTTTTTGAACTATGAGGGCACCCAGATGGTAAGCATGCCCCAAGTTTGCGTGGAATCTGCTCCCCTTGGGGTTTTGACCTGAGATGGTTGGGAAGACAGTGAGTCATGAGAAGTTTCTCCCAAAATGAAACTAGAACAGAGGAAGTGAAAAGGAGATTGCCAAGATAATGTTTCAGACCTGTGCGCGCGTGTTCTTGTGTAGAAGGAACAGGGTGTGTCAGGGACGGGAGAGCTTGGAACAGTGGCTGAAGGAGATGACAAAACGGCCTTTCCTGGAGAACTGTAAGATGATGGAGACACCAACCCTCCTCCCTTCACTGTCTCGCCTGATCCCTGCAATTTAGCTGCTTTCCTGCCTAGAGGCTGGGGGCTAAAGCCCATCTAGCCATGTAATTCTGTGCCCACAGGTAGCTTCTTGCTGTGCACAGCCTTTTCTTCAAGACGGGTTGATTCCTGTATCTTGTCTGTTAATCTGTTAATCAATGAATTTAATTCCCATTTGGTCACAGTCTAATCTTTTCAGCGCTGGGGCTGGGCGGAGGATGCACCTTCTATCTAGCGTCGTATGTGACATGACATTGAGGGGTCCTCACCGGGAGATTCGTGGGTTGGAAGGGGGAGGAGGACCACCTGGGGTTATGAAGGGCTGCAAAGGAGAAGCAGGAGAGCAGCCGCCACCGGGGTCATTCTGGGTGGCTGAGGCGCGCCGTGCAGAGTTGCGTTGTAGCGCCATCTTGTGGTCACCTGCCCCAAGAAGAGGGCCGCGTCGGTCGTCAGCATGACGTATTTGCTGAATGCCCCCTGTTTCCTGTGCCGGTTGGGGACTTGTGTCCTTGACTCCGGACCCTGAGGGCATGGTCCGATTTCTACAAGTTTTCTCTTCTCTGGGCTGTGCGCAGGGTCTGGTTTCCGGGCCCGCCTTCCCCTGGAGAAGCAGGTTCCCCAGTGTATTTGCTGCTCGTGAGTTCCTGGGCTAAACGGTTAAGATGACCAATGTGGGGCTAGCCTAGGATGGGGAGACTGGTAGAAGCGGGGCGGGGGGGGGGGGGGGGGAAGGTGGCTAAGGCCAAAACGGGGATTGGAGGGGGCTCTGTGGCTGACTCTTCAGTTCCCCACCACACCCATATTCGCCCCAGTTCGTGTCTCTACACGAAGGGAAATCGAATTAAGGCGCTGGCGAGCACAGGAGGTTCGGTTCGCAATTCCTCCTCTCTCGCCAGAGTGGGACCTGGAGCACACTAGCACCTCGGGACAAGACCCTACTCGGTTGCAGGGCAGCTCCTGGAACTACAATTCCCAGGATGCTCCCGGCCACTTCCGGCCTCGGGATCGACGGAGGCGGTTTGAATTTGTGTTCCCGCCCCCGCCTCCTCCGGGACCCCGCCCCTTCCTTTCTCTCGCCGCCCCGCCCCCGCCATGCGCACACATGAGGAGACACACAGGCAGGCGTCCACGCCAACATACCTGGCCTGCAGCTGGCGCGGTGGGCGGGGGCGCTGGTGTGCAACTGGCCGGGAGGCAGGAGCGAACGCCGCGGCCGCTGCCTGGTCCCGGTCCTCACCGGGGTCCACGCAGCCTTGTACCGGGCAGCTCTCCTTCACTACACAGCCTTTTCAAGCTGCGTTTCCTTAGTTTTCGCCGTTCCCGATCCCGCCCCTCAGTCAGACCGACTGCCGGCCTCAGCTCCGAAGCGCCCAGCCTGTCAGGTACTGCCGGGTTCTCACCTCTCGGCATGTACCTCCTCCCCCCATCCCTCCTCTTCTGTCCCCTCCCAGTCGCCCAGCCTCGCAGGCCTGCAGCCTCTTCCTCCCCTCCCCTTCTGATTTAACCCTGACAACCTCCTGGGTCTCCAACCCCCGCAGCCTCAACCTCGCAGCTCCCAGGCTCTCAGCTGCAGTCCTCTAAGCTCAGCGTCCAGACTCCCGGCCAGAATGCCAGGACTCAGCCCTATCCCTAGCCTTGGCTACTCAACCCTGAGCCTGCCACCGCAAATCCTTACTCTTTCCCAAGAGGACTGGACAGCTATGGCGCCCTTAACCTCTATGAGGCCCTGGACTGGAGACTGAGACTGACAAAAACTTGAGCGCGGAGGGCCAGGGGGAGCTGTTCGTTGGAGTTCGGGTGCAGTTGCTCCGTTATTTTTAGCTGCTGACTCACAGCTCCTGGCATCCGGGTTTGGGGCTAGCAGGCTGGGCTAGGGGGCTATTAATAGAGTCAAAGCACAGCCCCGACCCAGTTCAGTATGGAAGTACAGGGAGCAAGGAACCTCCCCCTGCCATCAGGCCTTGTGGAGATGTTGTGGACGGGGGCAGTGGCTGGACCAGTATCTCTCTGGCTGCCATTACCTCAGCCTGGTATCTCTACCTTGGAACTCTTGAGGGAAAGCCCACCACGAGACTCCTGGGCACAACTCTCCCCTGAGCTTGCCATGCCTTGGGGCTCTGCCACAATGCAGCTCCTGTTGTACTAGCTGAGAGTAAAGAAACGAGTCCCAAGTGGAGGGGTTATTGTAGCCACGGCCTTGGCCTGCCTGGCCCTACTCCTGGGCCAGAATGCTAGGTTACTAGCAGGAAAAACTGTGGATTTATGGTCCCCAAAGACCCTCATAAGGATGGGGTGCTTCAGCATGGTCCTAACAGAAGGAGCACGGAGCTGGCAATATGCTAGCCCCAAACCAGACACAGCACTAGGAAGCTGCCAAATTCTGTGTTTACCACCCTCCCATTCTTCTTTTTCTTTCTTGCCCTCTTCTTGGGCTCTGTCTGTCCCTACTCACAGGGGTCAACAGACCTCAGGATGTCTCCCTACTCCATAGAGAAACCTAATTCAGGAGAGCCACTGAGAAACTTGTCTCCACCAAAGTATGAATGATCCTTTATATATTGTCATTCTTATGGGGCTTTTTTATTTTAATGGACTAAAGTCGGCGTTTCCATACTTTGGGAATGGTAGGGAAATCTTGATACTTTACTGGACTAATCACCAAAATTATTCCCACCCATGTGCAATTTGCTAGAATTCCCATCGACTAAGGATGCGCACCCACAACAATAACCCCTACTTGCAAACCAGAAACTTCTGCCTTCAGCAGCCCCGATCTCAGGCTCCCGGTCCCAGGTGAAACCAGACGGCTTTGGGGCAAGGGTGATTGTTTCTCTACACACAGAGGCTAGGGTCACCCAATAAAGCTCTACTTTCAAGAATGAGCCCAGATTATTAGACAGCAGCAGGCCACACTGCCCCAACCCCGTCAATTTGCTGAGGGCACCAGAGAGACGGTGGATGGGATGAGAAATTGTCTCCTCCTCCTAAATCTCTTGGCATACTCCTCAGTCGCTTCAGTGTCTGTTCTGGCCGCCCCGTTGCCTAGCAACCACCTCCGCCTGCAGGGGCGTGGGGCTGCTTTTGACCTGTAGGGGGCGCCTGTCTCCCTGGGGCCTCGGAGGAGCTCTAGAATTTGGGGGTGGGGGTGGGGGTGGGGGGGCGGGGAGTTCCAAGTGTCAAAGCATCTCAGGGTTGCAGACCTCCTCCAGCTGTCCTCATCTCAGTCGATGGCAATTGCACCTTTCCAGATGCTCTGGCCACAAACCCTTGGAACCACATCTCATATCCAACCCAGTCTAGTCTGAGTCTGTGGAGTGGGGAGAAGCTCACTATGAATTTAAAGAGATTTTACTCATATTCATTAAAAATGGACAGACAAGGGGCTGGCCCCGTGGCCGAGTGGTTAAGTTCGCGCGCTCCGCTGCAGGCGGCCCAGTGTTTCGTCGGTTCGAATCCTGGGCGCGGACATGGCACTGCTCGTCAGACCACGCTGAGGCAGCGTCCCACATGCCACAACTAGAAGGACCCACAACAAAGAATGCACAACTATGTACCGGGGGGCTTTGGGGAGAAAAAGGAAAAAATAAAAAATCTTTAAAAACGGCAATTGACAGAGAAACTTATTATAACAACAACAACAAAAAAATGGACAGACAAGAGAGAGAAAAGAAAGAGCAGCCAATGGAGATGGGGCATGGGGAGGGCAGTTCGACCATTTGAGGCTTAGCAATGCTTGTTCTTCAATCAGAGCGGTTCAGAGGGCCAGGCTATACGGGGCTTTTTTCCTGAGCCACTTTTAGGATGTAGGAAAAGAGTCTAGCACTCTATATTGACAAACTGCTGAGCATATAATAGACTTTAAGCTCTCAAGTTACCAGCCTAGCCTAGACTTGGTCATGAAGGAAGATATTCATTCATTTGTTCATTCAACAGTAATAGTTAACCCCAACCCACTGTATACCAGCTAATGTGCTAAGTGTTTTACATTTAATCCTCACAAAAACCTTGTGATTATTTCCTTTTCACAGATAAAGAAACTGAAGCTCAGAGAAGTAAAGTAACATCCAAGGTCACACAACTAGTGACTGGGTTGGGTCTGACTGAGCAACCACTGTGTGCCAGAGACTAAGAATATGGGAAACAAGACACTTCTCTCTTTTCTCTACCTCACGTAGAGTACCTTTTCTCTACTGAGTCACCCTTCAGGACCAAACTAAAAATGTCATCTTTGTGAAACTTTTCTTAAGTGCTCCCCACCATAAGTAGATATTAATTAATTAATTAATTAAGTAGATAATAATTGCTTTTCTGTACACCCGTCTGAAATAGCGCTTTTCATGGGTATTGTAATGATCTATTTCCATATTTCCATTTCTCTAACTCCGAGCACCTCAGTGACAGGGCCTGTTTACCATTCATCTCCACTTGGATGTCTGATAGACATCTCAAACTCAGCATGTCCAGATCTGGACACCTGATCTTTTCCCCCAAAATGACCCCTCCTAAAGTTGTCCTCATCTCAGTTGAAGGTAATTCCACCTTTCCAGTTGCTCTGGGACCACACCTCATATCCAATTTGTCAGCAAATCCTGTTGACTCTCCCTTCAAAATACATCCAGAATCCAACCACATCTCATCACCTCCAGTGCTACCGCCCTGGTCCAAACTACCATCACCTGTCACCTGGACCACCGCAGTAGCCTCCTGACTGGTCTCACTGCTTCCACCCTTGTCCCCTGTGGCCTATTCTCCACACAGAAGCGAGAGTGATCCTGCTAAACCCAAGTCAGATCATGTCAGTTCTCTGCACAAAACCCTCCAATGGCTCCCCATCTCTCTCAGAGTAAAGCCAAAATCCTTATAATGGCCTGCAGGCCCTACACAATCTGGTCCCCTGCTAAATCTCTGAGCTCATCTCCTAGTACTCTCCCCCTGCCTCACTTTGCTCCGGTCACTTGGTCCTTCTTGCTGTTCCTTGGACGAGCCAGGTGTACTCCTGACCCACGACCTTTGCACTGGCTCTTCCCTTGCTATGTACATTCTTCTGCTTGGCTCACTTCCTCACCTCCCTCAAGTCTTTGCTCAAATGTCACCTTCTCAGTGAGACCTACCCTGACCAACCTATTTAAGGTTGCCTCTATTCTAATTTCCAGTTTATAGTAAATACAGGGTATAGAGGAATGAGACAAATGACACCATGAGGGAAAAAAACCCCAGACAAATCCAGAATATAGGACATTCTACAAAACAACTGACTTGTACTCTTCAAAAAGTCAATGTCATTAATCAAAAAAAAAAAAGGTGGGAGACTTCTAGTTCTGGACCCAGTAGTAATAGGCACACTTCTCCTTATTCCTCCCACTAAGTACAGCTAAAACCCTGGACATTGTATATAAAACAAACATAAGAAGACTCTGAAAGAAAGAGAAAAGGGCAGACTGACTAGGAATCTCGGTGACCTGAACTCATGGTGGTGAGTTCCCTGGGTTTTCTTGTTGACTCTCATATTCCAGACTGGCACTGGAGAAACCAGCAGCCTGGAAATGCCAATGGGTACAGACAGAAAAAGCCTCAATAAAAGCCTGCTCTCTCTAGTCAGAAGACCAGGAAATGGGCAGCTTAGCCAGACAGAAAACTCTTAGACAATAACCATGCTACTACAACCGAACAGCACAGAAAAGAACTGCAGCCCCACCCACGCCAGCAAAGGCCAAGTAGAAATCCAGACTTTTACTCTTTCCAGGCTCCCCCAAGCTCTCTGGCATGGTGTCAAAGAAGGCCAAGTAGGGAGCCTGGACTTCCATCCATGCAGGGTAACAAGGCCTCTCCTCTCCGCTGGGTGGTGTCAGAGTGCCAGAGGAGGCCAAAAAGAGGGTCAGGACTTTTACCACTGCCCCCCCTCCTTCCCTCCCTACTCCACTCCTCTACCACCCTCACTGCCCCCCTCCCATGGTCAGTAGAAGCCACCTGGGGAGCAGGAAGGAGGCACTTCAATCCCTCCCAGCCTGAGAAGTATCAGTGGAGGCCTAGTGGGGAGCTAGAACTCCCACCCCTGCCCAGCAGTAAGGAGAAGCCCTGACCTTGGGTATCAACCAACACTGAGGGAGGAAGTTGAACTTATACACCTACCTGGCAGTAACCAAGCAGTGGCCCCTTCCACTGATTGAAAAGTGTCAGAGGAAGCCTACTCAAAACGAAAGATTTATAAATAAGATCCAGAGTCTCATAATATCCAAAACTGTCTAGGATGCTATAAAAAATTACTCATCATACCAGGAACTAGGAGACCCTCAATTTGAATGGGAAATAATTAACAGGTGCCAACACCAAGATGACAGAGCTTTCGATGATCTGACAAGGATTCTAAAGTGGCCAACATTTTTTTAAAAAAATGCTTCAATGAGCAATTACAAACAAAGTTGAAACAAATGAAAAAATAGAAAGTCTTAGCACAGAAGTAGGAGATATAATAAAGAATCAAATGGAAATTTTAGAACAGAAGAATATAATAACCAAACTAAAAAATTCAGTGGATGGGCTCATCAGGAGGATGGAGAGGATAGAGGAAGGAATCAGTGAACTTGGAAATAGAATATTAGAAATTACCCAATCTGAACAACAGTGGGAAAATAGATTTTAAAAAAGGATGAACAGAGCCTCAGAGACGTGGGATTATAACAAAAGACCTAACATCCATGTCATTGGAGTCCTGGAAGGAAAAGAGAAAGAGGGTGGGGCTGAAATAGTCCTCAAGAAATAATGGCTGAAAATTTCCCAAATTTAGCAAAAGACATAAACCTACAGATTCAAGAAGGTGAACAAACCCCAAAAAGGATAAACTCAAAGAAACCCATGCCAAGACACATCATAATCAAACTTTTGAAAACAAGACAAAGAGAAAATCTTGAAAGCAGCAAGAGAGAAACAACACCTTACCTATAGGGGAGAAACAGTTCACATGTCAGTGGATTTCTCATCAGAAACCATGGAGGCCAGAAGGAAGTGGCAAAATAAATTTCAAGTGTTGAAAGAACTGCCAACCCTGAGTGCTATGTCTAGTAAAAATGTCCTTCAGAAATAAGGGGGAAATCAAGATATCCTCAAACGAAAAGCTAAGAGAGTATGTCGCCAGCAGACCCACGCTAAAAGAATAGTTAAAGGCAGTTCTGAAAACAGAAAGAAAATGATAAAAGAAGAAATCTTGGAACATGAGGAAAGAAGAAAGATTAAGATGAGTAAAAATGTAAGTACATATAATAGACTTTCCTTCTCTTGAGTTGTCTAAATTATGTTTGATGGTTGAAGCAATAAGTGTAGTGTTGTCTAATGTGGAGCTCAATCTAAGTAGAGGAAATATTTAAGACAACCATATTATACATGGGACAGAGTAAAGGGACTTAAAAGGAGGTAAGGTTTCTACACTTCCCTCAACCTGATAAAATGATGACAGCAGATCTTCGTGGTGATGAAATAATTCTGTATCTTGATTGCAGTGGTTGTTATAGGAATCTCCACATGTGGTAAAATGGCATAGATCTATACACACATTGTACCAATGTCAATTTCCTGGTTTTGATATGTATTCTAATGATGTAAGATGTAATCATTGAGGGAAACTGCGTGAAGCGTATATGGGCCCTCTCTGTACTATGTATGCAACTTCCTTGTAAATCTACAATTATTTCAAAATAAAGTTTTTTCAAAGATTAGGACTGTTTCTAGATTGAAAGTGGCTAAAGACACAAATACAATGTGAGAGCACTGATTAGATTCTGATGTTAAAAATATAAAAGGCAAGCGTGGGGGAAATTTGAATATAGACTGGACATTAGATGATATTAAGTGATATAAAATTATTGTTAATTTTATTAGATGTCATAGTAATATTGTGGTTATGTGGGAGAATGTGTTTATTCCTACAAGATGCATATTAAATTATTTATGGGAGAAGTGTAATGAAATCTGTAACTTAAATTTGAATGGTTCAGAAAAAAAGTGTAAATAGATCGATAGACCAAATATAGCAAGATGTTACCAGTTGTTGACTCTATGAGGAAGATATATAGATGCTCATTGTACTATTATTTCGACATTTCTGTATGCTTGCAAATTTTCATTTTTAAAAAAGTTGGAGAGGATATGTGGAGGATAGATATGTGATAAAGCAAGTATAGGTAAAGTAAAATGTTAATGAGACTCTAGATGACAATTGGGTGTTTGTTCCCTGTAAAATTCCCTCAATTCTTCTGTGTGTTTGAAATTTTTCATATTAAAATGTGGGGGTAAAAAACATGAAGAAAAATTATCACAACCGGTGTCCCCCACAGCACTCCCAATCCCTCTTTCTCTGCTCTACTTTTTCTTTTTATCCACAGCACTTATCACCATATATACTATATAATTCACTTATGTATTGTGCTGATTTTTGTCAGTGTCCTCTCACTAGAATGGAAGCTCCCCAGTGGCAGGGGTTTGTTGAGTTTTGTTCTGTTTGCTGCCACATCCCCAAATCCTAGAACAGTGTCTGGCAAATAGGAGGTGCTCAATGAATACTTGTTGAATTAAGAATGAATTTCTGTATCCCTAGGACCTGGTCAAGGTCTTGCACAGGGTAGGTGTGCAATGAATGTTTGTTGAATTGAACTGAGATCTAAGTTCTGCAGGAGAACTTAGAATAGACCTGTTGTACTAGAGTCGTTCAGAGCATGGATTCTGGAGTCAAATGGCCAGGATTTGCATCCTGATTCTGTCACTTCCAGCTGTGTTACCTAGCTGTATTACCATATCTGAGCCTCAATTTCTCAGTGGCAAAATTAAGGTAATAATAGTAGCACCTTGGTAGGGTTTTTGTTTGCATGTAAAGCATTTAGGACTTTGCGAAGACCCAATAACTGGTAGCTAACGACGAAACAAGAACTGGAAAAATATAAAGTCTTCCTGGCATGTCATCTTTCCTCCATCCCCCAACAGGCTGAGCCAGGAGAGGCCAAGGAGATGTCCTTGGAGAAGTATTCCCAAGTTCTTCTCCAGACCCCTAGAATATTTTCTCTCACTTCAGATCTCTTCTTACCTTTCCTCTTGACCTGGACTCTCTTTCCTCTTGGTATCCTGAAGCTCTTTCCCCCCTCATGACCACAAGGGAGTGGAGTGGAGGAGAGAGGAGTCTGTGGACCAAGGACAAGAGCTTAGAGCCTTCTTTTCCTCCTGTTCTAGGCTTGAGTCCCTCGCTGGCGATAGAAGCAGGTCAAGTGTGAGGTTTGGTCATTTCGGGGCCTGGAGGTTGAGAGAACAATAGTCCTGAGAAGGAGGTGCTGACAGGAGAGTGGTCTCATAAGCTACCCTCTTCCTTGGTCCCCTGTTAGGAGAGAGCACCTCCCTTGCCCTGCTCCAACGTCCCTTCTGTCCGTTCTGCTGCCTAAAATCTTTACTTCTGGTGGCCCCAGATCAGAGCAAGCCCGGGGACCCATTGAGCATCTCCCTGCAACTCCCTCTTGCAAGTGGGATGGGGTGGAGTGGGTGGAGGATGGACGGAAATTGGGGATATGGGGGCATGAGATTGGAGGCTGAACTCACCCTTGGCCCAAGTCCCCTGCCCCTGCTCTAGGGTTGGCGGTACCCCTGATATATGGGGATCTGGGGCTGAGCCTGGGGGCGCCACTGCTTCTGTTCCTTTAAGGAGCCGCTGTTTAGCATTCCAGCCGCTGCCGCTGCCGCTGCCTGACTCTGCACGCTGATTGGCTGGAATCAACTGAGAAGGGAGCCAGGGAGAGATGCTCTTGACTCCACTCAGATCCATCCTGGGGACCAGTGCAGGAGCGGTCCTCGCGGCACCCAGCCTTTGCCCAGGCTCCCACTTCTTCTTTGCCACTGGGCCTCGGCCCAGGAGCCACAACGGGCGACACGGAGCCGCCAGTGCTGGAGGGGGAGCCGTGGGTGCGGGGCAGCGTCGGGGCAGAAGCCCCGGGACGCCCGCCCGGCCCCAGGCCCCGCTCCGCCCGGGCGCCCCCACGGGTGCCCCCCCCTTCCTGGTCCGAGCAGTGTGAGTGTGCCCGGGAGCCCGGCGGCGGCGGCGGCGGCGTGGAAACCGGCGTGGGCTGGGGGGTCCGGGCCGCAGGGGGCAGTGCCATGCACAAGCATCAGCACTGCTGTAAGTGCCCCGAGTGCTACGAGGTGACCCGCCTGGCCGCCCTGCGGCGCCTCGAGCCTCCCGGCTACGGGGACTGGCAGGTGCCCGACCCCTACGGGCCAGGTGGGGGTAATGGAGCCAGCGCGGGTTATGGGGGCTACAGCTCGCAGACCCTGCCCTCACAGGCGGGGGCCACCCCCACCCCCCGCACCAAGGCCAAGCTCATCCCCACTGGCCGGGATGTGGGGCCAGTGCCCCCTAAGCCAGTCCCAGGCAAGAGCACCCCCAAACTCAACGGCAGCGGCCCCAGCTGGTGGCCCGAGTGCACCTGTACCAACCGGGACTGGTATGAGCAGGTATGGACCAATGGAGGGGGGGCGGTGGGGCAACCCAGGGGGACTGAAGAGAGGGGGCCTAGAGGCCTGGAGTGCAGCAGGGTTTCCTAGGGCTCCAAGACAGTGGAACCTGAGCCCTAGCATTGCAGCTGAGCCAACAGAGGCGGTTGGAAATGTGGGCTTCCCTGTGTGTATGCTTGGGGGTCTCCATTTGGAGGGGATTGGGAGGAGCTGTGTGTGTCAGGAGGTGAAGGTATGGCGGAGGGGCACATTTTCCTGTGTGGGGGAATTGGGTTTGTCTCAGTGTGGGGGTTTAGCAGTGTCTGTGTGTCTGGCAGGGGGCGGGAGGTTCTGCGGGGGCTGTGTGTGGTGTGTGTCTCCACAGGAGGGGAGGAGGGGGCATGATGCTCTGCGTAGGGGGGACATGTGTGTGTGTGTGTGTGTGTGTATGTTGAGGTGTGTGGAGGGAGGCAATGGAGCTCCTGTGAATCTATGTAGAGGAGTCCATGTGCCCAGCTGCTGAGCTTCAGCCCTCAATGCCATGAGTCCCTCTCCGTCCCAGTCCCTTTGTGTGTGAATGTGCACATGGACATGTGGGGCTGTCTCTCTGAATGTGGAGGTGTCTCTGTAGATGAAGCTGCAGAGATAGCTGTGTTTGCCTGTGTGTGTGGCTACATGTATGTGTGTGAGCATGTGGCTGCAAGTATGTGCACATATGTGCCTCTGTGTGTGTGTGTGTGTGTGTGTGTGTGGTGTCCCTGTTGAGAGGCGCTTGACAGGCAAGGGAGGGGAGGGGGAGGAAGCGAGAGACATGTCCCAAGCAAGGCTGATAGGCTGCTGAGAAGGACGGACTCTTTTGTCCAAGCAGTCCGAAGTGTGTGTGTGCTGGGTGGAGGGGGGGGGGGGGGAAGGGGGGTCTGTAGCAGGCTTCCTAGCTCCTGGAGCCAGGAAAGGGGCAGCTGCCCCGGTGCAGGGACTGGCCCCAGTGGAGCATGTCCCCCTTGGATACCCCCAGATGTGGGAGAACTTGGCCCCCCAGCTCTGACTTGGCACAGCTTGGGAACCCCTGGGTGCTGGGCACAACTCCGGCTTCCACTCCCAGCCTAAACTGCCAGCTTAGAAAATGGAAGGAGCATCTGTGGGAGAAGCAGCAAAATGGAGGCTGGGCCGGCAGAGCCAGGTCCCTGGCATGCATGGCGGAGGCCCTGTCTGGTTATTCGGCTCTGCAGCCCCCAGGGTAGGGAGAGAGAAGGAGGAGGCTTTGCTGTCGAGGGCAGGTGCTGACTGCCCCAAGCTGGTGACCGTTCTGGCTGCCTCTGTCCTCCTCTGGGGATAGGATGTGTTCTCACTCCGAAGCAAAGATGGGGACTTCCTGGGGAGAGGAGTCCTCAGTTCTGGCCTTCTGTCTGTCCACAATTACTGCTTCCCATGCGCCTTGCCTTGGCCCCTTGCCCTCTCCAGCAAGTCCCCCTCTCTCCTTTTCCCCTCTATCCTGGGGCCCTACCCTTGCAAACACTCTCTCATGCTTGTCCTGCTCAAATGGGAGATGAGTGCCAGTCCCAAGGCTGAGCAAGTTGGTCATGGTTTCTTTGCCAGGGTTGATCCCTGGATGGCTCCTGGCCCTGGGAGCAGGGTCCCTGAGGGGGGCAGTGGGAGGCTGGAGGGTGGACCAGCAAGAGCCGGGAGCTTCTGGGTCTCACTGGAGCTGGGCTTTAAGCATGGCTTATCACATGTGGGCACACATGGTACACCAGATGCATACAAGAGCTGCATGAGTGTCCTTTTGCCTGTGTTTCTGTTGCATGGTACTTCAGGCAGCTGCGTTGGTCTCAGGGCTCTGAAGAGCCATTGGTTCTTCCTCCTGGGATCAGGGACCAGAGGGGGCCTGCGCTGGAGTCCTCCCACCAACTCCTAGGGCTGAAAGGGATAAAGTCCTGGGCCAGACCCAGAAAAAGTGTAGGCAGGACTAGCCAGCCCTCTCCCCGTCTCCTCTCTGCTTCTTGAAGCCAAAGCTGCGTGGGGTGGAGGTTGGAGGGAGGAAGCAGAGCTGGGCATGTGGAGGAGCCCTCACCCGGGGTTTCCAGTTCCTCTCTTCAGAGGAGGAGACCAGGGGTCAAGAAAGGGGCAAGGCAGCCAGAGAAAGATTGGGGAGGGGTGCCAGGATACCTGGGGAGAGAGGCAAGAGGGCTCCTCCGTTCTTGGGGATGAGTGTGGGAGCCAGGGAGCAGGTTCTACTTGTCTGTCCAAAATCACATTTTCACTTGGTGATGGCCAAAAGTATGTCCTGTCTGGGGGCCACCTCTGTGGATTGGTCAGACCAACCCTGTGTTTCCATCCCCTTCCCTTCCTCTCCTCCCATGGCTACTGCTTGTTGAAGGTCATGGACTCTGCTGTCCATGCCTTGTTCTACCCTGGTTCTTTCTGCTGGGAAATACAAAGGGTTCAGGATCAAAAACCCCTTGGTAGAAATGGATTAGGACTTTGACTCCTTCTGCCCAGTTGAGTATTTGGGTTCCTGGGGACACAGAAGGAGATGTAGAATGAGGGTTTATGAGGTACTCTGAAGAGGGCAACTTTCCTTTTTCCCATGGGCTTTACTGGGGAAGGGGACGAGTGGCCAAAACATCAGTGGCCTTGGCAGCTTGCTTTAATCAAAAGAGCACCTGGAGATCAGGTTCTAGCCCCTGCTCTGCCACTAACTCCCAGTGTGCCCTTAGGCACAACCCATGTCCTCTCTGGGCCTTAGTGTCACCATCTGTCACATGAAGGAGGTTGGACAAGATGGTGTCCGCTGTCCTTCCAGCCCTGACATGGTGGGAGTCTGTGATCCCCAGGTCAGGGAGGGCTGTGGTTCAGAAGGGGAACAGGTCCCTGTCCAGACCACTGGGTGCCCCCATGGATGCTGGGTGTGGCATGGTTTGCCTGCCACATGTTCCATTTCTGCCATCCCCCTCAGGCCAGCCCTGCACCCCTCCTAGTGAACCCCGAGGCCCTGGAGCCCAGCCTCTCGGTGAGTGCACCACTGGCTGGCTCAGTCCCAGACAATTGATCTGGGCTAAATGAGCAGCTGGGTTTGGCCTGATATGGCTGGAAGCAAGGGGAGGGGGGTGGCCTCCTCAGGGTCAGCCTGTCCCCATCTGTGGCCAAGAGGTATCCTGGGGTCGATTTGGGCTCTTCTACTCTGTGGGGAGTGGGGGAGGAGCAGGTTGACCAGGGGGGTAAGATGGCTGGGAGGGCAGGAGGCATTTAGGGAACTGCCTGTGTCTTCCCCTAGGTGAATGGCAGCGATGGCATGTTCAAGTATGAGGAAATAGTACTTGAGCGGGTGAGTCTGCCAGTGGGGTGGGATGAAAGGGGAGGGGAGGGTTTGAGCCAGGAAAGAGGAGGGCCCTGAACTTCAGTCTCAAGACTCATGGGGGCACCTGCATTGAGAGGACGGGGAAACAGCAGCCCTCAGAGGCTGCATCACTGCATCAATCAATCAACCAACTAACAAATATTAATTAATTGACCTTGCTTGCTGAGGCCTGGGGAATTGGGGAGGGGATGGCTTTGCTGAGGCCTCTATGCCAGAATGGTCAGCACAGGCTGGGAAGCTGCAAGGTTTCTGACGAATGTGCCTTGGCCTGCCATGTCGCCTTCTGAGGCCTGAAGACCCTTCTCTGGGGGGCTGGGGGAGGTAGGGTTGCCAGGAACCCTCCCTCGTGCCCTCTGAGTGAACAGACTGTGCCCTTCCACCCCCTTCTGCAGGGCAATTCTGGCCTGGGCTTCAGCATTGCAGGTGGCATCGACAATCCCCATGTCCCTGATGACCCTGGCATCTTTATTACCAAGATCATCCCTGGTGGAGCAGCTGCCATGGATGGGAGGCTGGGGTGAGGTGGCCTGGGAGCAGGGCTGGAGGTGGCAAGGGCAGGATGGAGATGAGGGAAGGAGGGCTGCCAGGCAGGATGACCCTTCCATTAGATCTGAGAGGGTTGGCAGGGGGGGGGAGGGAGGGAGAGGGAGGGGAGGGAAGGAGGAGGAGGTAGGAGATGGGGTTGAGGGGTGGTGGCAGCGCAGTGTCATGCCTCTTGGGCTTCCCCCACAGGGTGAATGACTGTGTGCTGCGGGTGAATGAGGTGGACGTGTCGGAGGTGGTGCACAGCCGGGCTGTGGAGGCACTGAAGGAGGCAGGCCCTGTGGTGCGGTTGGTGGTACGGAGGCGACAGCCCCCACCAGAGACCATCATGGAGGTCAACCTGCTCAAAGGTCCCAAAGGTGTGGCCCTCTGGGTTTCTGTGTTCTGGCCAGAGGTCTCTGGTTGGCCCTGTAGGAAAGGGAAAGGAATAGCCTTACTCCTTGCCTGACTCCCTGTTCCAGCTCACAGCCTTCTTTCTTGACCTCACGTCTCACCCTAACTGACCTCGGGATGGCAGCTTAGTGTTTGGGATCCCTGGGGGGAGCTCCTGTGGGGCCAGTGGGTTGGGTTTGGGATTGACTGAGCACTCTATCTTCTCCTTGTGGCCCTCTCCCACTCCCTGCTGGCTCCTGCCCAGGTCTGGGTTTCAGCATTGCTGGGGGGATTGGCAACCAGCACATCCCAGGAGACAACAGCATCTACATCACCAAGATCATCGAGGGGGGTGCTGCTCAGAAGGATGGACGCCTACAGATCGGGGACCGGCTGCTGGCGGTGAGACAGCCTTCCCAGGGTGCCCAAATGATAGAGTGGAGAGGAGGAGCTTGAGCAACCTCTCACTCCACCTGAACCTCACTCAGGGACTAGGCATCATAGGGAATTTCAAGAGCATCATCTGAGCTGTGTGTACGCAGATACTGAGGTCCTAGTTCTTCTCATGGCTGAGACTCCCTCACCTGCCCTACCCCTATCTCATGCTTCTCTGCTCCTCACAGCACTATCCTGGGGCCTCTGTTAGAGCACTGTTGAATTTCAGTGAAAAGGCACCCCTTAGGGTTCCCTGAAGAGGCCCTCCCTTCTCCCAGTGCTAGCCCTAAGGCCCCTCTTCTTGTAGGTGAACAACACCAATCTGCAGGATGTGAGGCATGAGGAAGCTGTGGCCTCACTGAAGAACACATCTGACATGGTCTATCTGAAGGTGGCCAAGCCAGGCAGCCTTCATCTCAACGACATGTACGCACCCCCTGACTACGCCAGCAGTACGTACCCATCTGCCTTGTTCCTGGCCTGAAGCCCCTGCCCCCTGGTTTCCGAAGGGGAAGAAGTTCATACCCCTTGTTGAGAGAGAGAGAGAGAGAGCAAACAGAGAACTAGTGCTCAGAAGAGCTGAGTCCAAACCCCAGCTCTGTCCCTTATAGCTGGGTGCCCTTGGGCAAGTCCCTTTCACCTGTCTTTAGTTTCCTCTTTGGCAAAAAGGAGCTAATGCTATATGTGCTGCCTTCCTCATAGGACTGCTGCAAGGATCAAATGAGATCATGGACGAGAAAGCCCTTGGAAACCTGTATTAGGCTATAGAGATGCGAGGGATTATTATTAGTCACATCTCCAGTCATGCCTTTCTTTGTAGACTGCCTTGACTTCAGCTCTTTCTAAGACTCACAGGAGTGAGCCTAGGATTCAGAAAGGGACTGTGGAGGAGGAACCCTGAGGGGTGGAGTAGGGGGCAGAAGCCTGAGGAATCAGCATCCCTTGGTCTCTTTTGCATCTGGAGGGGGGTGGGTAGGGTACCCAGGTGGAGCGGTCTCTGAACTTTTCTCTCGCTTTCCTGATTCCAGCTTTTACTGCCTTGGCTGACAACCACATAAGCCATAATTCCAGCCTGGGTTATCTCGGGGCTGTGGAGAGCAAGGTCAGCTACCCTGCTCCTCCTCAGGTTCCCCCAGCCCGCTACTCTCCCATCCCCAGGCACATGCTGGCTGAGGAGGACTTCACCAGGTAAGAGCCCAACCCCCCCCCCCCTTCATCCTATCGAGGGTTGAGGAGGAGAGGAATCCATTTCTGGCGGACCACAGGCCTCCTTATAGTATGGCACAGAAGAGGACAAGGCCCTCAGTGCTCCTGTCTTTGAGGTCTGAGGACCTCTTTCAGCCCTTGGGGCCCTAGGGAGGGACAGAGGTGGTTGCAGGGACAAGTTCTACCATCAGGGGGAGTTCCAAGTGTGTGGCCCTGATCTGAAAGTGCAGAGAAAGGGTGGGGTGGAGAGTTTAGGGGGCTGAGGAGGTGGAGGCTGCGGGGTTTCCTGCCCTAAGACAGTTGCAGCCCACTCTGCTGCAATCATTCTAAACTGGAGAAGAAAGAAATTCAGCCAGTGGGGTTGGCGGGACGCTGAGAGGCTGGCAGGGCCGGTGGCCTCACAGGGAACAGCCCCGCCCCACTCTGGCGGCGGCGGCAGCGGCACCGGCAGCGGCGGCAGCAGTGGCCTTGGAACTGGTCTGGCCGGCCAGGGTTCCGGGGGACAGGTTTGCTGCAGGGTGGGGCCTGGTAGGCTGCTGGGCTGGCTGCAGTGGGGCCGGAAGGGTAGGCGGACGGGGGAGAACTGGAGGAGCCATGGAGAGGGCACGCAAGTTCTCAGGCTCTGGCTTGGCCCTGGGCTTGGGCTCAGCCTCGGCCTCGGCCTGGAGGAGAGCTTCGCAGAGGTGGGCCTGGCCGCTCCGCTCCCTGCGGCCTGGAGGGGATGTCAGGTAGGAGGAGAGGAGGGCTTGGAGCAAGAGCATCCGGGACTCAGGGAGGGAGACTCTCACCGGAGACTGGAAGCAAGAAAGGAGGAGTCTTGGACTTGGGGCTCCCCTGATGAAAGATGCTTAAAGTGAAGGCAGTGGGCTGAGAAGGTGTGCTGGGAGTTGGGTTGTATGGATATACATGAGTGGCTCCCCTGATGACACTTTTACAGACGGATTCCTTAGACATGGTTAGTTAGAGTTGCAGTTTTTATGTGCTTTTCTCCTCTCTTCAATTAGGCTCCTAAGCTCCTTTTGGGGACCTGGGATTTCTTTATCTCTGTCTCCTACATCACCTAGCAAGGGTACATAGTGGTAGCTGGTGACTAAATCTGTCGTTGGGGAAGGTAGGAGGGGTCATAGTCAGTGGGTGGAATCTGAGGCTGCGGAGGAGCTTGTGTAAAGTAAGTATGCACGTTTTGCTGATGGTGACTGCAATCAACCCCAGGGTGATTGCACTGCCCCTAACTGATTCCCCTTGTTGGGGCCCAGGGTGCATCACACTGATTGGTAGGATAGGAGAATCTGGGGAGGAAGAGGACCAGTGAGTGGGCTCTGATATGTGGTCTCTAGAGCCCAGGGCAGGGCTTTGTTGATCTGAGAGAGTAGGGGATTGTCTGCTGAGAAGCTGACTCCAAGCCCTCAGGAAGAAGGGAGGGAAGAGGAACTGAAACTTGGCAGCTGACAGAAAACAGCAGCCAAGCAGGTTTGAGGAGAGAAAGGGAGGAACAAGGTATCATACATAGGGACCCAAGTCCTTCTATAGTGATATAGGCCTCGTTCCAGGCTGGCCCTCACAGAGACAACAGTTGATATCTACCTTGTCCTGACCCTTCCATTCCTTTCCCACCAGAGAGCCCCGCAAGATCATCCTGCACAAGGGCTCCACAGGCCTGGGTTTCAACATCGTAGGAGGAGAGGATGGAGAAGGCATTTTTGTCTCCTTCATCCTGGCAGGAGGCCCTGCTGACCTGAGTGGGGAGCTGCGCAGGGGAGACCGGATCTTATCGGTGAGGAGACAAAGGCAAGGTGGGAGGATGGGAGCTGTGTCAGTCTAAAAGGGAGGAGGGGGGACCTCGCTTTCTCCAAGGAATGCTTGAGATGGGAGAGGCTGAGAGCTGGAGAAAACTTATATTCTCTTTATAGATATCCTTAGCGAGGGACAGGGACCAAGACCAGACTTATCCTTGAGGAGGAAATGAATATCTTTTGGGTCTTAACCCTGGTTGGCATTTGACTACCACAAAGATAATTATTACACTAGAGATGTCGTATACTTTAGGTCTCAACATAGGGACAAGGATGGGATATTGAGAAAGGCATCTGAGTAGGCTTAGGGATGGGCTACCCATCTCCCTCTCCTAATTAGTATGACAGAGGACTCCCTTTCTTGCTTTTGGGGTGGCTCATAGCTCCTCTCTTTGGACAGGTGAATGGCGTGAACCTGAGGAATGCAACTCATGAGCAGGCTGCAGCTGCTCTGAAACGGGCCGGCCAGTCAGTCACCATCGTGGCCCAGTACAGACCTGAAGGTAAGAGAAGAAAGGTGGGACAAGATGATTTGGGAAGTTTAGACTTACGCTAAGTGGTGGCTTTTTGCCATCATGGGTAGCAAAACCACTTGATCAAGTCCCTTCTATCCTAGTGCAGTAACCTCTTCCTCTCCCATTTTCCTTCTGGACAGGGGTAGGGGTGGGCAGCTTGGGAGCATCTATCAAAGCTGTGCTCAGAGCCTGCTGATCAAGGCTGCAGTGCAGCAGAAGACCAGTAGTGGGCAGCAGCCTACGGGAGGAAGCACACAGACTGGGGGCGACTGGAAAAAGGGGGGAAGGGAGGCGGAGGCGAAGGCCTCAGAGGCAAAAAACAAGAAACTGTTTCTCTTGGAATAGAAGGTGAATAGCTCTCGGTTAGAAAAATCTCACGGAGAAAAGATGTGAACTCTTAAAGGATCTTGGGCCAAACCTCCGTGACCCCCACTCCCCTTCCCTCATCAGGGTGACGGTGAAAGACCTAGAAAGGCGCTGAAAAGGTGATGCTATGCCCTCGGGGTAGGAAATGGGGAGTGGAACCCCTCCCCCTACGGGGGCCCTTCTTTGTGTTCTCAGGGAGCAGTCCCCGGGCTGGGGCGAATGGGCGGGGCAGGTTATGCAAATGACGATGTTTGATTGGCTGGGGTCAGCCAAGGCCCAGGTGCCGAGGTGAGCTGCGGGATGGCGCGCCCGAGCCAGCCGGCCGGCCGGGTGGCCATTGGCGGGCCGAGCGCGGCCTCCAGCCGCACGCCCCGCCCCCTGACCCAGGCGGAGGGCGGCAGGCGCCCCTCCTTCCCCCCTCGCGCGCCTCAGGCGTCTCCTCCTCCCCCTCCTCCCCCTCCTCCTCCCTCCTCCCCTCCTCCCCTCCTCCCGCGCGCCCCGCTTTGTGTCCGTGGTCTCCCGCGCGGGACGGAGGGCTGGCCGGAGCTGGCGCTTTCTCAGCACTAGACCTGGACTCCGACCCGGCGCCAGGTGAGGTGGGGCGGACAGGGGTCAGGCCCCCTCACAGTCCCCCCTAGCCTCTCCACGGTTCTGTTCTCAGACTCTCTCTTTCCAACACTGCGCCCCCAGCTCTGCGCTCTCCCGCGAAGCCCTCGCCGCGTGTCTCCGGCCCCGCGCGGTGCGCAGCTTTGGAGCCCCTTCTGAGGACCCCTCCTGGGCCCCGGGGTGCGCCGCGCCCGCTCTCCCGCGACTGGGCCCTGTCAGGCCGTCACCTCTTTGCCATCAGCTCTCCCCGCCCACGAACTGTGCCCCCTTCTCGCCCCAGGGCCTCGGTCCTACCCTCAGCCTCCTTCCTGCGGCTGCCGCGCCCCCAGCAGCTCCCTAATCCCTATCCTCAGAGGAATTTTCTAAATCTTCCCCTCCCCCACACGCAGTAATCCACCAAACCTGGCTACCTCTGGGAACCCCCGAGATTGGCTTGGCATTCTCAGCCCCCCTCCCCCCCGCTTTTGTTTGCAAGGATTTTCATACTGTTCCCGACGACTTTCGCCTCCCCCTCCTCTTTGTAAGCCGGCCTTTGTCCCTTAGGTCTGTAGCGCCTGGGCTCCTTGGACACCTAGGCCCGTGGGCCGGTTACTAAGGTGGAGGAAGGGATCTCTACGGGGCAGGTGCTCTGGTGCAGTGATGAGAAGGGGAGAGGCTGGGAGCCCTGTCGCAAAGCTGTAAGGGATCGAAAGTGCCTACCTTTGTCCTTTCCACCCTCTCCCCGACTCTTGTTCAGTGCCTCAAGCGAAGAGCCTGAAGGGAAAGAAGAGAGGGGCCTGCCACCTTCTGCACTAGGCATTATGGATGGGGACCGAAGTATAGGGAGGTAACTAACAGGAGAGCTTGTTGGTCTGAGGTAATGGGAAGGAGAGATGCAAATAGACCCTTTGAGTCATTTCTCTTCACGTTTGGTGTTCAGCTTAATGACAGGAAACATACCTTAGGGATATTGCTTTTATGATTCCTGCGTGCGCTCTTTGCTTCTCAGTGTAGAGCTAACCATCTGATTTTCATTAGTAACCAATATTTATCCGTTTCATGCCCACACTTAGACAACATAGGTTCTGCAAAGAAAATGGTTTCTCTTGCATATTTGTGTGTGTGTGTGTGTAGGAGAAATTGATTTGTTTCTTTCGGTTTTGCTCTCTGATGTTGGGCACATGGAAACAACACTGAATTTGTCTGGTGGTAGTATCTTGGAAACTGATGACTGCATATTTCTATGAGTTTTGTTGGGAGAATGTAACTGACTGGTTTGCGTTAAAAGCTGCAAGTTGTCCCGGGTAAAGGGATTCCTGTGGTGTTCATTGCTCTCTGAGCGTATTTCTGAGTTTATAATATATGTTGAGGTGCTATCTCATGTTAGGTCTCTCTACCATTTGCTAAACAGAGCCTTTCTTCTCTTAGGATTTGGTTGAACCACTGTTGTTAAGGCTCTGGCACCCCAATCTTCTTTCTTTCTTTGGTTTGGTAAATCCTTCAGGGCCCCGACATGCAAAAGGTTTTTTTTTTCTGTTCGTAAATGGACCCTTGGAGACAGGTCCAGAGGGACTATCAAGCATTCTGTGTTGGGCTCTGAATTTTCTTTGAAAAAGTGATAGTTTTTAAAAATAGGGACTCCATGTTGATTATTTTATAAATATGTTAAATACTGTTCTTTGGAAGATTGCATCATATGGGCATTTACAAAATGAATAATCCAAAAAATGTCTGTTGGCTAAAATGGCAGAGACGTTGCGTGTTATTGGTCAAGTAGGTGTTCATTCTTTGTCTTTTTTTTCACATAGAATATGGGAGCTGGAAAGGATCACGTAGGCCAAGCCCTCATTGTGCAAACTGGAATAGCGACAGGAGAGCAAGGACATGACTTGCTTAAGGTCATGAAAGGAAAGTTGCCGAGGGTCAGCAATTCAGCAATCGGTTTAATCTTGAGGGACAAACCCTGAGGGACAAACCGTGCTTGCAAATACCTGAGAGACCTAAGACCTAGTTAGAGCAGAGGAACAACAGGAAAGGACCTGGGGAAATAACAGAAGAGAGACCAGGGAAAGAGATGTATGTGCCCTGGAAGATTAGACTGATCTCCATGGTGGCCATGAGGCACCATTGCCAATCCACCACAGCCTATACCTGGATATCCTTTAGCATGATAGCTTACAAAAATAGCTTTGACTAATTAGAACAATCAGAGTAAGAAGAGTTTTTCTGCTTTTTTAAAGGCTTAATTGAGATAGAAATCATATACCGTACAGTGTACCCATTTAGGTGTACAATTTAATGGCTTTTAGTATATTCACAGAGTTGTGCATCCATCGTCACAGTCAATTTTAGAGTATTTTCATTACCCTTCTCCTTCTAATACACAGAGAGGGTGCAAGCTTGGAAGGGTGATAGGTAGAGGACAGTTGCTTCCTAATGTATCTCCCCTGGGCACGTAGAAGCTGGATGGCAGCTTGGTGGGAATGCTCTAACCTTGAGATTCTTTCATATATCTGGTTCGCTTAGTATGGGTTAAACTCATGAAAATAGGAACTGTGTCTATCTGTTTGAACTTTGTATTGTGCCTAGCATGGGTACTTTACAAGTATTTTTATGGTGAAGCTTTGGAAAATATTAAAACAGGAATAGAAGTACTAAATGATAAGCACCACAGTGAGAGATGGTGTTTAATTGTTTCGCTCCTGATTGCTCCAAACTGTTGTGGACACAGCAGTCCTACCTGTTAGCTAAAAATAGCATTATGTTCTTGGGCATGTATAATCCTGCTTAAAATTCAGATTGAAAATTTAAACAACTGGCTCTTGGCAAAGGCTCTCTTCTACTCTATTCTGAAATAAAAAGTATTTTTCTGTGACTTATGGAATTGCTCCACCAAGGGAAGGAGGGACTTCATGTTATACCATTTTGATTTAGAAACTGTCTCCTACATTGTTTTGCCTAGTTACTTTGAGTCAGCCTCCATTTGTAAACCTGAACCCCAAATCAGGAGGTGAGCCAAAAATTGGTCACCAAGGTAGCTAAACTGGGAACTGATCCTTTGTGACCAGTCTTTTCCACTAGAGTCTAAATCCAGACAGGCTGGGGGTACAGGGAGTGAGAGGGAACGAGAGTTTTCCCTGCTTATCTTAAAGTGCTGAATAAGCACACTTTCGCCATGGAGACACCTCCAGGTAAGACCTGGAAGAGTTAAGGATCAGTGTTGATAATAACTTGAAAGCATAAAAGGGATATTGTTTCCATAACATTTGAATAACCATCCCATCTCCCTCTGTTTGAGAGTAAAGGATGTAAACATAGCTGCTACCCTATCAGCATAATCTGTCTTGAGAGCACAGAGGTGAAAGTTTATCGCGGCAAAGAATCAAAGTCCTGAAACTCTTATTGCCATCCTAAAAGCAGGCTAACGTCCTAAAAGAAGGCTAACGTGGGGAAGGAAGAAAATTAATTCCTGTTAACAGCATTTCTACGCTAAACAATTTGAAGGCAGCTAGTATTGTATTCATCTTTGTGTTCCCGGGATCTAGTCCAGAGCCTGGTACGTGGTTTGTCGAAGTGAATTATTTGAGTATGTTCCAGATGGTTTTGTAAGCATTCGTCTTCAGGATATCCCTGTCAGGTAGGTGGTATTATCCCCATTTTACAGATAAGGAGAGTGAGGGTCAGAGAGGTTGAGTGACTTGCTCAAGGTCACACAGCCAGGAAGGGACAGAATCAAAGTTTGAAGTCAGATTTCTTGAGAACTTTGGGACTAGGGCATTTGCCACTAGGCCACGAGTACCTCCCACCACAGCAGAGAAGCTGTGAGCCCCTCCCCCTACCTAGATACCTCTGGACACAGCAAAAGATACTGTTCTGAGACTCTTCAGATGCCAGAAGTTGTTAAATGAAGTAAAACCAACTCCCAGATGTCAGCTTTTTAGTCTTGATTGTCACAAACTCCTGCACCAAAGGAGGAAGTAACCTGGGGGTAGAGGGGCTGCTGGAAGCCTGAGGGAGACCCCCCTCCAAAGGGAAAG